TTTTTTTTTTTTTAAGTCTCTTCTGCTCACCAAGCCTGCATTTATTTGATCCAAAGTACAGCAAAAACAGTACAGTTTTGAACTATTTGTACTATTTAAAATTGCTTTCTATGTGAATATCTGTTAAGCTGTACTTTATTTCTGTGATGCGCAGCTGTATTTTCAGCATCATGACTCCAGTCTTCAGTGTCACATGATCTTCAGAAATCATTCTAATATGCTGATTATCAATATTTAAAATTGATACAATTGAGTAAATTTCTTTTTCAGGATTCTTTGATGAATAGAAAAATCCAAAGATCAGCATTTATCTGAAATAAAAAGCTTTTGCAACATTATACACTATTGCATTCAGTATTATTTTTTTGGTTAAGAAATTATAGAAATTAATACTTGTATTTAGCAAGGATGCTTAAAATTGATCAAAAGTGATGTTAAAGGCATTTATAATGTTACAAAAGATTTCTATTTCAGATAAATAGTGTTATCGATATCGGAATTATATCATACCGACCGAAATTAAGAAATATATCGTGATATAAATTTTGGCCATATCGTCCAGCCCTATATGCAGAGTCATTTTACATTTGATTATTCAGTTCTGTACCTGAATACTGTTAGACTTACCTGAAAAATATAATAAAGCACTGTTAATTTCATTTGTATCTTTATTCTATTATATTTATGTTTGTAATTTGTTTATTTTCTATGCTGATTTACCCACCTACATAGTCACCCCAATCATTGATTATGTTTTTCCAAATAGAGCTATTCAAGTCATCTGGTGATTTTTTTTTTTTTTCATATCGCAGAAAAACAAAACATCACAATGTGAGTGTTTTCCAGTATGGTGCAGCCCTAGTGTGTATCAGATTAAAGCGCAGCGGGAGCGTGGATCTCAGCTGATTGTGATGGACTCACTGCAGCGTGAAGCTGTCCACGCGGCTGACGCGCAGCTGATAGTGGACCCCAGCGCTGGACAGCGTCGACACGTCCACGAAGAAGAACTGCGTCTCTGCCACGGCTTTAGTGGGCGGCTGACACAGCGTACGGCCCAGCTGTGTGTACTGGTACTTCCTCTGATACCTGCGGACAGACAAAACACTCTTTCACAGCCTCGCTTAAAACACAATTATTGAGTCACCACTTGTAGTGCACTTGAACCATCTTTCATACACTAGGACACTCAAGTGTACTACAAGTGGTGACTAAATACATTTTTAAAATACAGAGATAGTATGTTAAAATCACATTTTAGTTCATATTCATGGCGTCTCAAAACAGCACAGTTGAGTACACTTAGAATCATTGTTAGTATAATAATAGTATATAAAAATTATATTTAGTATAAAAATAGAGCACTTTAAGTACATTATGGAAGTGCACTTTTTTCCACCTGGGGACAGAAGAAAGAAACTCATACAGGTTTGGAACGACATGATGGTGAGTAAATGATAACATAGTTTTCATTTTTGGTGAACTGTCCCTTTAAAAAAATACAACATGAGAGCTAAACAAATGAGTTTATTGCTTCATTTGTGCTGCTTATGCAAAAACAGAAGTTCATGAGGAACTGAAAGATCAAAGTTCACACATGATTGAACAAATCATCATATCGGAGTCCAAAATTAACTTTGACACCTGATTATCATCTGACTCCAGCAATATTTCATATATATACATATATATATATACTATATACTGTATATATATATTCATATTCATACATACACACACAAATATATATATATAGTTATTATGTACTGAACTGTATAAAACAATGTACACTGAAACTGTATATTATGAATATTGATGGCTCCTTGACAGATTGCTTTTGTTCCTAATTTGTAAGTTGCTTTGGATATGTATTCATTTCTAATTTAATTTAACACTAGTTTATGTTTTAAATTTGCCATAATCTATAATAATACTTTACCTCATATTTAGATTTTTTGCTGTAATTTTTGGAGCCTGGTGAAGTCAAACACACATTTGAGCATCTCACACTCACTTTGATCAGGTTATTATGGGATGTACTCACAGGCCTCTGAGGATGAGGGGAACCTGGAAGGACAGAACGGCCTGTTTCTGCCGGACCACGAACAGAACCGGACTCGGAGCACTCTCTGACAGCAGCTCCACGGACACACGCACACCCTCCGTCTGAGAGACACACACACACACACACACAGAGAGACACACACACACAGAGAGACACACACACACACACACAGAGTGAGTTAGTGTGAGCGCTTCAGATGTTTCTCCAGTGGTCAGTGTTGTGATGCACTCGTGCCTTGTTTCTGGAGACGGTGTGGTTGTAGGAGTAGATGGTCTGGTTGTCGCTGGTGACCGTGTCGTCATACGTCACATCGAACCGAGCGTCTCTCTGGATGACCACGTTAGCGCCGCACGACGCCAGCATCAGGACCAGCAGGACCGGACAGAAGCGCAGCATCCTGGATCCGTCATCAGCCTGAGAACTGAAGCAGGACACCAGCGAGTGAGTCTGGAGCAGCACACACATTCACTGCATACTTACCATACTTCATCTGAACACACACCCATAGTTCTGTGCTTCTGAAAGAGGTCTCAGCAAGGCTGCAGTTATTTGATCAAAAATACCGTAAAAATAGTGAATATTATTACAATCTAAAACAGCTGTTTTCTCTGTGAATATGTGTTAAACTGTAATGTATTTCTGTGATGCGCAGCTGTATTTTCAGCATCATTACTCCAGTCTTCAGTGTCACATGATCTTCAGAAATCATTCTAATATGCTGATTTGATATTATAAGTTATTATTGGCACTCAATTATTAATGCTAGCACTTATTATTATCAATGATAAAACCCATTTAAGCTGCTTAATATTTTTGTGTAAATCATGATACCTTTTTTCAGGATTCTTTGATAAATAAAAAATTCAAAAGTACGTAAAAAAATAGAAATCTTTGGAACTAAATTAAATTTGAAAATATATTCAGATAGAAATAAGTTCTTTGAAAATGTAATAATATCTCACAATATTACTGTCCAATCAAACGAATGCAGCCTTGATGTGCAAAAACCATTAAAAAATCTCAATATTCAGTGATTGTCAATATTCTGTAGTCAATAACATGACCTAAACATTTGTAATTATAATAAATTAATACAACTGATTCTTTTCTAAATTAATTAAATATTAATTAATCTAACGTACAGCATTTTCACCACAGGCCGTAAGAACCATGTACATTTACTATAGTAAAAACATGGTAGAATTATATTAAGAGTGGCTGTATTTACAATTCTACACTAACCACACACACACACAAGCATGCATATATACATACATATATATATATATATATATAGATCATAATGTCATAACTACACACACACGTCAGTATATACAGAGTAATCAGCATATAAACACACACTGGTTCTGTCGGTGAACGTTAGACTGACCGTGTCTCGCGTTAAGCTCGTTTTATCTGCCGTTAATGCGCGGGATCCGGTACAAACACATTCTAACACACAGCAGCGCTCACTAGAACACAGTCCGCCGTTAAACGGATGGAAACGCGATTCGGTTCGTCCGTGTCGGTTCCGGTCCGCTCGCTCTCGTGTGACGTCATCGCGCACGCGTCATGTTTATGGGATTACATTTCTGCCACAATTCTGCACGCGAAAGATCATATTTTGAGCGCGCAAAAGTGCGTTTTGAACGCACACGAACTGAGTTTTGTGGAGAAAATGTTTGTCTGGCAAAGAAGAAAGTATTTCGAGCGCACGAAAATCAATTTTGCATTTAAAATATGTTTTTGGATTTGTGCAGACCTTCTCTTTTGCGCGTGCAGTGTTTCACTAGCTTGTTCTCTTGATGCCCGCCCTCAGTGCTCTCTAAATACCAACGGCTCGCTTGCTCAACACAACCCAACGTTACAATATGCCATAATTCCAGCCAATCAGAGACGAGGCTGCTAAATTCTGGTTGGCTGCCTTGACAACCAATCACAACATTCCTTGCATTACC